GCGCCAGAGGGAGATCGAGTGTGAGGTCCAGTAGCTTATTGCTGAAAGAGGCTGGTCCACCGTTAACTGCCATAGTTTCCCACTCTATTGCAGGTGCGTTGAAATCCCCAGCAATAAGTACCTCTTGGTGGCTAGCTACGTATTTGACTAAACCAAGGAGCGACTCATCAGTTGCACTCAGAAGATTTGATGGTCTGTAAATCGCCAGAAATTCTAGATTTTGTGCATTGCTCCTCTTTATCTTTTTCCAGACGGATTCATATTCAAGGGAGAGGGTGTGGGCTCTTTCAACTGCTGAAATTCCTTCCCTTACATATACGACTACCCCTCCGCCCTGCCTATTTTGACGGTCTCTACGAAACAGCTGGTAACCCGGTATCGAAATCTGAGCATCCATGATTTTGGCATTAAGCCAAGTTTCCGTTATGGCGATGACGTCGGGGATTCGTTCCGGTACTATCGCTTTGAGTTCGTCGATTTTCGAAACGAGACTTTGAGCATTGGTATACAAAAGTCTCAATTTGGCACGAGCAACTCCGGCATACTGGCATTTATCCATTTCTTGGGATTGAATGCAAAAGCCGGTCGGAGCTGATCGGGATGAACTGCTTTCCATCACTCCTAAGCTGTTAGAGTTATGGGCTTTCTCCAGAGGAATGGCCTCGGGACGCGGATAATTTTTCCGTCCACTATTCTGAGATTTGTCTCGCCCAGACTCGACCGTCTGAGGACTTCGAATTTGAGCCCCCTCCATTTTTCTCGCTCGGCGGGTGAAAAGTCCCGCTGAAAAAAAACTGATGGATGGGCGTGTTTAAGCGCAGCTTTCCTGCTCAAAAGTAGCTGCGCTTGTTCGTCATTCTCAAAGACAATTTTTAACGGTCTCGGTCCGTCTGGATCTTGTTTTGAGTCTTTAGTTTTGCCCATCCTGAAAGCCTTTAATACTGTGACTTTTTCGTCTCTTATTAAGCTCGATTTGAGATATTCCTGGAATAGTTCTATGTCATGCTGTATTCTGTCCTTTGGAGTGTCGGAAACAGACTCAGGCATGCCCTTTATAACAATGCATTTACTGCGATCAACTGGACGGCCTTGTGGTATAATCATACCTACAGAGTCTTCATCGCGTGCCTCCCGGCTACAACCTTCCACCGATTTAGGAAGGTTTGATTCAGCAGGACTGACGCATGACTGCCTGTTTACTACGATCTTTTGATCATTTTTCTTTTTCAGCGGCGCGATTTTCGTGTGCGGCGTAGCCAACTCTTGTTCCCTCGTCTGACTCTCTGTGCCTTTTCGAGGTACCCTGAGATTTCTTTTTGTTCGCTGAGATCGCGTCTGACCGCGCTTTTTTCGCACAAGACACTGGGTGTCATTCCTATCAAGCTCTAGCGACCTACTATTTTCTTTCTCCTCCGTCGACACAGCCGAGGAAGCCGTGTTTGCGTATGTTCGCTCGCTTTCATTCTCTTTAGATGAATAGCGAGGGAGATTCCTCAGCTTCTCCATCTCCACTTTGAAGCCCTTTATCTCCTTCTCCATTTCCGCAAATTTTTGAATGAGTCCGAAACATGTGGTACAGGCTTCGTCTTCGTATTTGGTATCCATACAGCTTACTAGACTCCTTGCTCGTTTAGCGGGAGGTGACTTGACAGCGATATATACAGAGTTGAAACCGACCTGCTGTTACACTTACATTCAGGGTTTCAAATCTACAAGTCGCATAATTCCCGTGTAAGGAAAACCCTGCATTTCTCTACGGTAGTAAGAGGAGACCATATGGATTTCATAAAATTAAGCAGTGGATTTGAGCAAGCCACATTCGTAAATGCGGATACATGGCGTTTTATGGACGGCCATTTCACCGTACTAAAAAATCTAACAATTAGAAACTTTTTTAAAACCGAATCATACCCTTCTTTGGAGTATAAAATTGGGAGAATACGTGATTTTCAACCGAAGAAGTGAAGGACACTCCTGTCAGGTCTCCTGCGTAGAAGAACCTCATAAGTCGTTATCGATGATTACTCTTTGATTTTTTCTTCTGCTCTTGAACAACTGTTTTCTGGAAATTTGCTACGGAAAATTTCATGATGGAACAATGTTCAGAAAACACTGAATATTTCGTCGAGGTAAGAACTGAAAAACAAAAAAGCATTTACTTTTAAATGATAAAACAGTTCTTGGGGAATTCAGCTGACGTCTTACTGTTACATGTGCACCAAAGCCCTCTTTGTATGAAAGTGTGTGGCCGTGTTATTTTGTTCTAGGGGAAATATATGGCGTGTAGCCTAGTTTTGATTCAACGTATCGAGGCACTGTTAAACCGTTTTTACAACAAAAAATCTCCAAATAAACACAGTGTTTTATAAAATGAGTGCGAGAATTGAATGCCTAGTGTACTTATCTTTTAACTTATTACAAAATGAATACAGGCACTGAATCCCGTTGGAAGATGCAGCTAATTCAGCTACAGGCTAGAAGCTCAGACACGCGTGTTTCGGCGATCTTGTGCCGCTGCCTGACGCAGCTGCGAGAGGTTCGGCTTATCAGTGACCGATCTGCGCAATATATTAATACTTTAACCAAAACAGGTGATCCTACAATCGCAAGACAGATTTGTGCCTGTAGAAGAAAAAACATATCATCTGCGGATGCTGTGCTGTTTTAGATATCGAAGCAGGATGCAGGATTTTGTGGGAACGGAAGACCCAAATAGACCATTCCTGGTTTATTTGCCGTTGACAGACAGTCGTGAAGAACTCGGACCCAAACCCAAGCTCTCTGATGACTGAAACGGTTATGCAATTTGGATGATGCTATAGAAGACCTTGTGGAAGCCCTACTCCAGGTGCATGTTGCACCGCTGAGCCTCTAACCGTACCGGACGTGTGCCTCTCCCTCTAGTTGGAACTCATTCAGTACAGCATACAGAGCCCTATCGCCGGATGTCAAACGTCACCGCTTTCTATTTGGGACCGGACACGGAGGTCGTAGTGGTCTGTCAACAGCTATAGCTGCCGCAACAACCTCACCCGTGGAAAAAAAACAATCAGGGACAGTGCAGAACGGAAAATGATGAACTCGAGTGAAGACTTTCGAGAATAAATCCACCCATGGCCACCTGACAAAACGTGCGTAAAGGTGGGGGGAGCAAAATTTGACTGGCTTTTGCGTTACTGATCGCGGGTATTTGGAGTGGCCTGTGGATAAGTTTAAATAGGGTGCACGTGCTGTGCATATGTAGTGCTTTGCTAACAAAAACAGAAGAAAGGTAGGACATAGTTATCTGCTTAAAGCCGACAAACGGAGATCGCGATGAGTTTTGGGATTTCTGTGTGCATCTTTTGCTGCGGCAGTACAAGTTGGCTACTGGAGAATAAATACTCAATTTTAAAAATTAGAAAAACGAAGTCGTGGTCCGCAGGCACCCTTCACTGATGTCACACGGGAGAGTACATCCGGTGGTAGGTTAGGCTTCGGGTTTCTGTCGAATCTGGTCAACTCGAAGAAAACCACGCCTGTGAGGCTAATCCAACCATCACGCACGGCAGCCATGAGTGACGCAGCATTGCAGGAACCAGACTACTCACGAAAAAGTCAACTCAGTGTGAATCTCGCATCTTCTATAAATGTAATAAGGGTCTTGCTGCCCATCTGCGAAATACGGTGTAACTGCATTATCCTTCAATAAAAGAATATACAGACAAATATACAGAGAAAAAGCACTCTAAAATTTCAGTTGACAGCTGCAGGATTACACCGGTGCCACGGTGACTGAAGGGGTCTTTGGATCATAGACATTCATAGCGTCCGTTCGCTACTGGGACCAGAAAGAAGTTTTTGCACTTGTGGTGGGAACTGTCGGAAAGCAGCCTCGGAAATCTTGACGTACCGTTGGGTTTCACGATCATACATCGCGTCGCGTCCCAGATATCCGTATTCGACAGTCAAGTACTCTTCCAAGTTTGCCGGAGCGAGGATAGGCAGATCTTCATAAACCATGGACTTCAGAGGGAAAAATGCATTTCGCTCAAACAGTTTAGCACAGGAGTTGTAACCGTTTCCAAAGTGCCAGTTAACACGCAGATGCTGAACCGGCGAGCTGGGATGGGGGGAGAGTGTAAAAAGATCTACATGGACGCCCGAGGGGTCGTGAACTAGTTCGCACAATTGCGAGGGCCTGATGCGCGGGTACTTTTTGGCTACTGATCGCAGACCGTGCTCGGTAAAAGTAAACTTCGCACTTTTCGCACCCACACCGGTGTACGAACGTTCATGAATAGCACAACTGTCAGTTTTCTCCACGTACAGCCACTTTTCACAACCCAGAGCATTTCGAAAGCTTACTGCAATTTTTGGAACATCATTGTCTTTTCTCAGTAAAACTGATGCACCATCAAAGCCCTCAATTCCGGAGACTTCAATGTTGCTAGACAAGCAAAAGTTGGCCAACTTTGACAGGCTTCCAGTTTCCAGGCGTGCACGAGCCTCACATGTTGAGACTGATATCTTGATTGTAGTTGGAAGCCTCTTTTTCCTCCTGGGGTAAATCGGAAAAGGGCCAGGCATCATCCGTCATTCAGCAGGCAAGAATAGTTGGCGGCAAGTTGTTGTAGCGCGTACGGCCCTCCACGCGCTAGCCAATAGGCGCTTGATTATTGCTTTTCTTTGATTGGTGGTTATACAGGGGCGTAGGTGGTTGTTCAGTAAGCTCGCCCAGCAGGCATTTGTACCGTTATGAAGAGCTTTGAGAAGGGCCACATTCGGAATTCGTTTCCACTCTCCGTGTTC